GAATTTCTACTCAGTACTTAGTAGGTATTCCAAAAATGTTGCCAAGCTGACAGGAGAAATATATAATTTGCTATAAAGACAGAGTTCTCTCTGCGTTGAAGGTAGCAGACACAGGGAGAGACTTCCAGCTCATGAATTTGCCTGTACGGGACACTCCCACTGGGACCATTGTTCTGTGGAAGTAATGTCCTTGTCTAGTTTTCTCCCCGCAGTGTCCTCAGTGGCATAACTTGACAATTTGACTTAAAAGTCCATATTCGAAGAAGGCAAAGATATGTTATAAAAGAATTAGAATGGTGGTATTTTCTTCTTGGACAATACAAGGTACTAAATTTGCATCCAGATTAAGGGTATAAGTTATTTTAAGTGATGATTCCTGATTACTTGAGTTAAAATTATTTGACCATACTTTGGAGGCCTATAAAAAAAAAAAAAGAAAAAAACAACTTCACAATCATGGAAAGTTTATATACCTCAATTTCAGGCCATAATGTCTTGACATGAACTAATATATTTTAATTTACATCTTAGTTTGTGTGGTTTCTGAAAAGATAGCTCCATTGTTAGAACATAAGAAATGATCTATTTATTCACATTTTCCTCTATGAACATTCATTTGCTTTCCTTAAAAGCTAGGACTGGTAAAAGCAGACATCCTGTACTTGTTCTTAATGTCAGGGGAAAATAATTCAGTATTTTGTTGGCTACTGGTTTTTGCAGGTTACTTTTATCAGTTTGAAGAAGTTCATGACTGTGGCTGGTTTGCTTAGTTTTTATCATAATGGATACTGAATTTTGTCAAATGCTTTGTATCCATCAAGTTGATCATATTTATCTTTTCTATTAATATGGTGAATTGTATTATTTTTAAAAAATATTTTTATCATGGTAGAATGTACATAACATAAAATTTCCTATTTTTTCCCATTTTTTTTAAGTGTACAGTTTGGGGGCATTAAGAACATGCACATTGCTGTTTACACCATCATCACCATCCATCTCCAAAACTTTTTCATCTTCCCAGACTGAAACTCTGTCCCCATTGAACACTAACTCCCTATTCCCTCATCTCTCCAGCACCTGGCAAACACTGTTTTACTTTCTGTCTCTATGGATTTGCCTAATTTAGACACCTCAAATAAGTGAAACCATACAGTATTTGTCCTTTGGTGTCTGGCTTATTTCACTGGGCAGGTTTTCAAGGTTCATCCATACTGTAGCCTGTCAGAAATTCCTTCCTTCTAAAGGCTGAATAACATTCCATTGTCTGTATATAACACATTTTGTTCTATCCAAACAAAAATTCCTCACCATTTACTGAAAAGATCATCCTTTCCCTATTGAATGGTCTTGGCACCCTTGTCAAATCATTTGATCATTAAAAACAACAACATTTGATCACATATGCAAAGGTTTATTCTGAGTTCTCTATTCTATTCCATTGTTTATAAGTCTGCCCTTACGCCATCCCACACATGGTGTGTGTGGGTATATATACAATTATATATTATTACATATTGAAGGTCTAATATTTGGCATGTAAATGTTTATGATTGTTATATCTTCCTGCTGTATTGACCCTTTTACCATTATATTATGTCTTTATCTCTTGTAAGAGTTTTTTAGTCTCCTTTGATATGAGTATAGCCATCCCTGTTCTCCTTTGCTTACTATTTGTGGGGAATATTTTTTTTTCACCCTTTCATTTCTTTTTTTTTTTTTTAAAGATTTATTTATTTATCTGAGAGAGCGAGAATGAGAGAGAGAAAGAGAGAGAGAGAGTATACATGAGAGGGGGGAGGGTCAGAGGGAGAAGCAGACTCCTTGCTGAGCGGGGAGCCCGATGCGGGACTCGATCCCGGAACTCCAGGATCATGACCTGAGCCGAAGGCGGTCGCTTAACCGACTGAGCCACCCAGGCACCCCTCACCCTTTCATTTCTAACCCATGCATGTCCCTAAATCTAAAGTGAGACTCTTGTAGGCAGTGTATAATTGAATCCTGACTCGTTTTATTATCCATTTTATCAGTCTATGGTTTTTGGAGAGTTTAATCCATTTACATTTGAAGTAATTACTAACAGGGAAACACTTGCTTTTGCCATGTTTTCTGTATGTTTTACCTATTTTTTTGTCCCTCGTTTCCTCCATTACTGTTTCCCTTTGTGCTTAGTTGATTTCTTGTACTCACACATTTTGATTCTCTTTTCATTTCTTTCTGTGTATCTTCTATGGGTATTTTTTGTGTGTGTGTGCTTACCATGGGGATTACATAATAACATCCTAAAGTTATAACAATCTATACTATAGATTATAGATTATATGTAGTTACTATATGCAGTAACTACATATAATTATAGATTATATGTAGTAACTATATGTAGTTACAACAATCTATAATAATATATCTTTGTTACCAACTTAACTTTAATTGCTGCTCTGTCCCTCCACTTACATTATTGATGTCACATATTACTTTTATATATTGCATTCCCATTAACATAGATATACAATGACATCTTAGGCATTTGTCTTCTAAATCCTATAGAAAATACAAAGCAGAGAGGCAAACCAAAATTATAAAAACACTATTTTTATATTTGTGCATATATTTACCCTTACTGGAGAACTTTATATTTTCATGTGGCTTTGAGTTACTATCTAGCACCCTTTCATTTCAGTTTGGATGCCATTTAATATTTCTGGTGGGGGCAGATCTACTGGTAATGAATGTCCCCAGTTTTTGTATAGGAATGTCTTAAATTTCTTCCTCATCTTTGAAGATGTAGAGTTTGCCAGATGTAGAGTTATCAGTTGACAATTGTTTTTTTTTTCTTTCAGCATTTTAAATATGTCATTCTAACTGCCTTCTGGACTGCAAGGTTTCTGGTGAGAAATCTGCTAATCTTACTGGAGATCACTTTATGTGATGAGTGGCTTTTCTCTTGCTGCTTTCAAGATTCACTCCTTGTCTTTGACAGATCTGATTATAATGTGTCTCACTGTAGGTCTCTTTGTGTTTATCCTACTTAAGTTCATTGAACTTCTTGGATTTGTATATTCACATCTTCCCTCAAATTTAGCCCTTCTTTTTTTTCAAATAATCACCCTGTCCCTTTCTCTCCTCCTCTCTCACCTCACTCCCCTCCTTCTCTGTCTAGGACTCCCATTGTATATACATTGGTTGGCTTGATGGAGTCTGTCCCGTAAGTCTTTTAGGCTCTATTCACTTTTTTTCATTCTTTCTTCTTTTTGCTCCTCGAACTTGATCATTTCAAACAACTTCTTTTTAAGTTTGCTGATTTTTTTTCTACTTGTTTGAATCTGCTGTTGAACCCCTCTAGTGAATTTATCCATTCAGTTATTATAATTTTCAGCCCCAGGATTTGTTTGGTTTAAAAAAATAATAATGTGCACCTCTTTGTCGAGACTCTTATTTTCTTCACATACTGTTTTCCTGATATCCTTTAGTTCTTTGGCCATGTTTGTCTTTAGCTCTTTTGAGGTACTCGACATTTGTTTTAAAGTCTTTGTCTAGTAAATCTGATGACTTTTTTTTTTTTTGGAATTTTTTCTGGAATTTTTCCTCCTTTGAGTGGGCTATGTTTTTCTGTTTCTTTGCAGACCTATGACCCTTTGTTGAAAATTGAGCACTTTTGCAAAAACGAGCCCCTCTTACACTGATGGGGAAGACCCTCTCTCACTGTGAGTCTTCAGATCAGCCCAGGAATTCTCAGATCTTTTCTAGGTATGCTTCCTGTCTAGGCCTGTGTTTGTTTCTTTTTTTTTTTTTTTTTTTAATTTTCCCTCAGCTGCTTTTAAATGTCTTAATTTCCTGAAGAGTCTCCAGCTTCTTCTCAGGGCCTTAAGTGCTCTATTGGATTCCTTTTTTGTGATCTCCTTCCTGGCACCCGAGGGGCGGTAGTCAGCCTGTACCTTTCAAGTGTTTGTGTGCCGCTGCCTCTTGGGGTTTCTTATCTCACATCCAAACTATGCCAGCATCTCCCTCCTGAACTGTGAGTCAGGCAAGACAGCAACCAGTCCCTCAGACGGCCTGCACATGGCCAGAAGGTTGCGAACAAGTTCCACTCTGCTCCTTCTAACCCAAGGGAGGGAGCTGGGAATTAGGTGAATTTCTTCCAACCCCACCATGCAGGGTAGCGGTGGGGTGGGGGATGGGGGGTGGGGAGGGGAGTAGGGGTAAGAACACCACACAATTTCCTACAAGTTTCAATGTGATTTTTCTTTGTTGGACATTCACTTGTTTGCTGTAGATGTTTAGTTTCTGTAGTTTGATGCTTCTATGGAGAAATGAGGGTATTTAGAAAAGCAAACTATTCCATGCCAGTTTGGTAGCTGCTGAAATTATGCCCTCGTCCTTGTCACTAGATATGGCTCTAATCAAAACCCAAAGTTGCAAGGACTGTTAAGGCGGCTTGTGGGTATGCCTTTTATAACATACCATGTTACACAAGAACAAAGACTACGTAGTAAATAATTATGTGATAACTGATCCAGAACACTGCTTTTATTTCCAGTGAAATAACCCAGTTTTCCCTTCATGGCTTTTTTATTAAATTATAGGGTTTAGTGGAACTATTATTGTTGTTTCTTTTCTTTTTTGTGTGTGTTTCTTTTTTAATACTACTACTGTTCTATCTGCTTGCTTGCTAGGTGGTTGAAAAAGAACATGCAACCCACCGAAGACCTTCAGTCAGTGATCCAGAGGCTGTCGGTGTTTGGGCCTATTAAGTCCGTCACCCTCTGTGGACGGCAAAGTGCTATCGTGGTGTTCAAAAATATGACTTCAGCTTGCAATGCTGTGAATGCTTTTCAAAGCAGGACCCCAGGCACAATGTTTCAGTGCTCCTGGAAACAGAGATTCATGTCGAAAGACGTTAAGACTCCCTGTGACCCAAATCCTATGTAAATTCTTAAAGCTCTCGTGGTACATAACTGGTTTGTCATCGGGGCTCTAGTGAAATATGATAACCATAAATGGTATGTTAGCACTGAGAAAAGGCACAATTTATTTAGTCCGAGTACTGGATCAGAAATGACAGCACATCCCTTCCTTTGAAATGCGTAACCCTGCTGTAACAGCATCACAGCTTGGCTTTTTGGGATAAGAAGTTCATGACTGCATTCACGCATTCGTCTGACAGCCATCTTTCCTGGAGGATGCTGCTTTCTTCAGCATTAATAGCATGCAGCTTTTCCTTCTCGTGATTTCTGATGATCTGTTTTGAAATACGCATGGCCTGGAAACACAAAACCAACAATAAGGTTAAGGGCATTCTAGAGGGAATGGGATTATTCTATAGTGCTGATTTTTGTTTCTCCATGGTTCATGGAATCCTGTCACACCCTCAGATGTATGTGTAACATAGGACAGTGCTTCTCAAACTTTAATGTGCATATGATTCATCTTGGTAGACATGGGAGAGGGCCTGGGAGCACACATTTCTAAAAAGCCCCAGAGAGACTAAAGCTTCTGGTTCCAGGACCACATTTTGAGCAGAAAGAATATAAGAGCAGTCAGTCACGAGTTACCACATATAAAAACCAAAGTGCTACACAGTAAGAATCTCCTAAAAATCAACCTATCTGGCTTCTCACCTGGATTCAAGAATAAAAGTGCTCAGCAAATACTGCCCATCCTCCTCCTCAAAGTTATCCCCAGAAAGAACTGTCCCTCTCCCTTCATATGTATCATAGCAATAAAATGCCTATCTGAGAAGTTTTTTAAAAAATCAGTACTTCTAACATTATTATGGTTATTTTTAATCTCAAATTTAGATGTGCTTACAGCCAACCAAGGTATACCTTGTTTTTTAAAATGCTTATTATCTCTTAAGGCAAATAAATTATTTCCATGGTTTCTACTAGGAAAAAAACCCCCAAAAAACAAAAGACAACACTAACATTCCTGGGGAGCTTTGAATATGCTTTCAGCCTGGTCCAAACTTCTTTCTCAAAGGTGCTATCAGGAAAAACTTCAGTAACAAGTCCTTGAGCATAGGCTTCTCCAGCGGTTAACTTCTTCCCAAAAATGAGCATCTCTACTGCCTGAAACGAAAAGCAAGATTAAGACATTAACTCAATGAAACACAGGTCAGTTAACCTCAGAACTGACTGTTTTCAGGAGACAGAGGGCAGTTCCCTTACGGTCTTCTGAGGTTGCCAGTATTTCTTGTTAAGGGAGAAACTGAAGACCTCAATAGGCAATGTTTTGCAAACTGTGCTGAGAGCATCTCAGGCTCTCTGGAAGGTTTGCAAGGATTTTTGCTTCTCTATGTGTCTGTGCTGGGAAGGCAAAAGCAGGGAGCCACAGGTCCGCAGAAAGGACCTGAAGCAGATGCTGATCCGGTAACCCACACAGCTAGAAATTTCTGTTTTATACACTATAAACAATTACAAATGAAAACAGAACCTAAAAAAAAAGGAAAATCCAGGTCACAGTGAATGCCAACCAAACTTTAGGCACCCGAACTTTCAAACTTCCCTTCCTTGGAAACTGTATGCAGTGGTCCAGCTCTGACAGTTTTCTTTACCTGCACAGGTACTACTAATTAGTTCTACCTGACCAAAAGAAAGGGAGGAAGGACTAATATTCAGCTTCTAACAAAACTGAGCTCACTAAGCGGATATCCTCTGTATTTCCAGTTGTGCTTCTGGAAAAATATTATTTCATAGTCAAATGCCCTAAGCCTTAGAGTTGGTTCTGCCCAACTTTTCAAAGTTAAAATCTGTAATAATGTGACAGAATAATGAGCTTTAAAAACTATATATTTGCAACAAAAACCTAGCAGTCAATGAAAACAGGCTCCGTTCCAACCCCACCACGTTCAGACCTCCAAGAATTGGCTAAGCCTTCCCTTATCCCCGGCTACCCACTGTTCGGTCTCATCATGATTACCCTGGAGTCATGCACACTGAGCCTGGGCACCCAGGCTTCCGTAGACACGGGGACAGACCTGGGCAGCCACAGAACCCCTCTGGGAGCCTGAACACACGGCTAAACTTACTGAATGAAGAGGCTGCTATGACTGGAAGCAGCTCTGGAAGGCGTAAACCCCCAGGAGGACTCGCATCTGCTGGTACCTCCCGTGACTCTCAAAGTCAAGATGTCATCTTATGGCTTCCAGAGGATGCTGCTCATCCACACAGAAATCAAGTGGGGCCACGAGGTGGCACCACTCTGGTCCTCTAATGACTCATGCCACACAGCAGTGGAGGACAAGGCACCGGGCACCCAGCTGCAAGAGCAGATCCTAGTCTGCACAGTCATGGAGAGTTTCTAATTTTCCCTCACACCAGACATTTCCCATAGCCTAGCTCTTCTACATTTGAAAGTTTTAGAGTGGAGGAGCAAATAACTCACTTTTCTTCTGTCTATATTATCGAGGAAAAGAAAAGAGTATAGAATTACTTTTCGAACAGAGGTTATTTTTTAAAGATTTATTTATTTATTTGAGAGAGAGAGAGAGTGCAAGTGGGGGAAAACATCTGAAATCAAGAGTCGGATGTTTAACTGACTGAGCCACGCAGGCTTCCCCAGAGGTTACTTATTACAACTTATTCTTAAGGTTTCCAAGAGTTACCTTGGCTAGGCCCATTATCTTCGGAAAAGTGTAAGAGGAACATCCTTCTGGAGTTTGGCCAAGGTGACTAAAAGGGGTGTGAAATGTTGCCTATTTGGAGAAAAAAGAAAAGAAAGACAATTACTTTTTGTATGTGATTTTTAAAAATCACTATTTGTATATATCCTCACAATACTTGAGAAAGTTTTTTTAAAAAATTAGGATTGCTGTGGTATCATATACACACCAAGTTCACTCTCAGATAGGCAGCTTGGTGAGTTTTAATGAAGGTACACAGTTACGTAGCCACCACCATGTCAAGATGTAGAATATCTCCATCACCCCAAAGGGCTCCTTGTGCCCTCTGCAGTCAATCCATTCCTGTCACTACCAAACCACCACCGATCTGTTTTCTGTCCCTTGTTTTGCCTTCTCTAGAATGTAATATAAATGGAATCATACATTCTGTAGCCTTTGGTCCTTAGCATAAGACTTTTTGAGAGTCACCATGCTATTGTATTGGTAGCTTGTTCCTTGTCATTTCTGGGTAGAATTCCATTGTATGGGCATCACAGTTCTATTCACCAGTTGAAGCCACTGGTGATATTTCTAGTATTTTGGCTATGATGAGTAAGACCGTTAATGAAAATTTGTACACAGGTCTCTGCATGAACGTGTTTTCAGTTCTCTTGGGTAAATACTTAGTGGTAGAATTGCTGGGTTGTGTGGTAAATTGTGGTTTAAGACCAAAAGAATTTCCAACGTGGTGTATCATGTACCACTCCCCCCAGTTGCTCCAAACCCTTGCTAAACCTTGTTACTGTCAGTTGTTTTAACTCGAACCATCCTGGTAGGTGTGTAATAGGGTCTTGTGGTTTTAATTTACATTCTGTAATGACTAATGATGTTGAGCATCTTTTCATGTGCTTACTAGCTCTTTTTAGATCTTCTTTGGTGAAGTAACCATTATAATATTTGCCCACTATTTTTAAGTTAGATTGGTTGTGTTTCTATTATCACGACATGGCTGGGGGGAGTGGTACATGATACACCTCTAGAGCCAGCCCTAGTTTTTGTTTTTGTTTTTAAATAGACTCCATGCCCAGCATGGAGCCCAATGCGGGGCTTGAACTCATAACCCTGAGTAAGACCTGAGCTGAGATCAAGGGCTGGATGCTTAACTGACTGAGCTACCCAGGCACCCCTTGTTTTTTTTATTTTTTAAAGATTTATTCACCTATTTTAGAGAGAGAAAGGGAGGGAGGGCAGAGGGGCAGAGGCAGGGGAACAGAGAACCCCAAGCAGACTCCCTGCTGATCATGGATGCAGGGATGGATCTCACGACCCCGAGATCATAACCTAAGCTGAAACCAAGAGTCAGAAGCTCAACCGATTGTGCCACCTAGGTGCCCCCCTTTTTTTGATTTAAGAAATATTTTTGTGTATTTCTTGATCAATGAGAAGTCCTTACGAAAGGAAATTAATTTATACTTGACAATATGTATACAGAACATTTAGACTTCACTTCCCATTATCGGATCTGGTGCTATTTCTTAATGAATATTGTTAGAAGACATAAATATATAATATACGCAGTATATAAGTGAAAAGAAAAATGTAAAATAAAAACTTACTAATGTCACCTATCACCCCCTCCCCCCAAAGCAAGCTTATTCAGGAAGATGTACTGAGAAGTCACAGCCTAAGGAGGATAAGTGGGAAAGCGAAAGAAAACGCCAACCATGGCTAAAGGGCCACCAACAGGTATGTGAAGAACTGACAGTAAGCAGCAGTTAACTTATTTTCAGAAATAGAGCAGTAAATGTAATTAAGGGTCAGGCTCTGGCATCTGACTTCCTGGTGACTCTGGGAGCTTCTTAACCTCTTTGTGCCACAGTGAACTCTTTTGTAAAATGGAGACAAAAATACCTATCTCACAGGGCTGCTGTGTGCATTAAGTATGTATCACGTGCATCAACAGAGTGCCTAGGATGTGGTGAGTACGCAAATACTATTTTTATGATTTCTACCCTTTTAGTACCTCATAGGGGAAATGTATAATTTGCTGACAAAGAAGCTAATGGACATTGTTAACTCTTGCCCACAATAAAGGATAATTTGGTTGTATGAGTGTTAAACCCACATTTAATATGGTATTTGTTTATGAAGCCAATAATGATAAATCCTATAAAACGCATTCCTCTTCACAGATTCTTTCTTCTGTGTCTTTCTCTGGTTTTAAATTGAACCTTGGTTTAATTCAGTTGGTGAACTCTTAGTAGTGGTCAGTACTTGTCAAATATTTTACTCTGGGCCAAATGTTTTAGCATTGGAAGTATCTATGTACGCTTTCTTTCTATTTCAATTCCAATTTGTATCACAGAACCGAAATCCTAGAAACCTTGAAAATATGATGGATGTGACAGGCGTTTTGAATTCTGAGGGAGAACCAGGAGAATATTCAAATAGGATGATATATTTGCCCTCTAAGTACTGAAGAATGAGATCCCTAAGTTCAGGTCAGGAACTCCTGACCCCACCCCTGGTCAAGACCAGCTGATCAATCAGTCCTCTAACACACATGATGTGACCACAGCCTATTGATTTCTGCCTTTGAGCAGAAGCTTCCACCTATGAAGGTTAGGCAGCCTAGCACTTAGAATCTCATTTGCTATTTTCATGGGATAATTATTAAAAACATTTAGGTCTGACAACATGCCCAACCCCATCAAACTGAATCCAGTAAAAAAAAAAAAAGAAAAAAATGAACTCCAGAGATAAGGGTCTTAAAATATGGTCATGTCTATTGGTAGGGAAAACACCTCCAAACAAAGCTAGGAATCTCTTCAGGGGTAAAAACCAAATGTTTCCACAAGGTTGTAGAGCAGGATATTGTACGACTGCATAAGAAAAAATTACTCTAAGAATCTGATAACCTTATAAGTGGTTCTTAGTTCTACAACAGAAGTTCTAAAACAAACGGTCATCACATCTTTGTTCATAATGACAGAACTGGAGACAGCCTAGGGTTCCAGCAGTCAGGGACCGGTTATCTGTGAGTGGTAAGATAAGAAGTGATTTTTAATTGAACCCTTTATGCTTTTCCACATTTTTCGAAATTTTATTCTACTACAGTATATATTAATACTGTAGTGAGAACAGAAATTAAAAATCAATGCAATGCAATGGCGAACACAAGGCTAAACTGTTTTGGCAAGTAACTTGAACTTCAATTTATTTATCTGCAAAAAAGGGAGTGAGGGTAGTTAGTGCTTCAAAGTCCCTTCTTATTCAAAAATTCTAATATTCTTTTTTTTTTTTTAAAGATTTTATTTATTTGACAGAGAGAGACACAGCAAGAGAGGGAACACAAGCAGGGGGAGTGGGAGAGGGAGAAGCAGGCTTCCCGCGGAGCAGGGAGCCCGATGCGGGGCTCAATCCCAGGACTCTGGGATCATGACCCGAGCCGAAGGCAGACGCTTAACGACTGAGCCACCCAGGTGCCCCTAGTTTCTTTTTTTTTTTTTAAAGATTTTATTTATTTGACAGAGAGAGACACAGCAAGAGAGGGAACACAAGCAGGGGGAGTGGGAGAGGGAGAAGCAGGCTTCCCGCGGAGCAGAGAGCCCGATGTGGGGCTCGATCCCAGGACCCTGGGATCATGACCTGAGCCGAAGGCAGACGCTTAACGACTGAGCCATCCAGGCGCCCCAAAAATTCTAATATTCTAAAATTCTAAATTCCAGAATTTGTTTACTTGGAAAAAAGTATCAAATTATCCACTTGCAGAACATGCAAAAATGCTGTTCCCCCTGCCCCCCCGCCCTGATAGCAAGCTTTCAAGATCTCCTATTTTAGATTAATTGGAAAATCAAAATTTGAGTAACTGTTACGTAATTTGATTAGAATATAGAACCATAATAGTTGAGACAATGTTCACAACAATACTGGTGTTTAGGAAAACCAAAGTTAATAATGAAGGACAAATAAAACAAGTCAAATTAAATTAAGAGTAATTCTTTGGGAAAAAGGGAAATTTAGTCCATTCTACCATAAATCATGCAATCCATTTACTACCAGCCAACAATTAAAGAGAATTCAGAGGACCTCATTTTTACTTCATGACTTTCTACGTTTCTGGGGGCTGACTTACCCTGTCGGACGCATACACAAGATCAAATAGCCCGAGAACGGTGACGGATATTCCCACAGCTGGACCATTGACCACTGCAACCAGAGGCTTAGGAAAATCTATGAAACAGTCTACAAAATCCCTACAGAAATGGAAATACAAAAGCATAGTTAAATGAGCTGGAGGGGATTATGCTAAGTGAAATAAATCAAGCAGAGAAAGACAATTATCATATGGTTTCACTCATATATGGAACATAAGGAATAGCGTGGAGGACCACAGGGAAAGGGAGGGAAAACTGAAGGAGGAGAAATCAGAGAGGGAGACAAACCATGAGAGACTGGACTCTGGGAACCAAACTGAGGGTCACAGAAGGGAGGAGGGTGGGGAGATGGGGTAACTGGTGATGGGTATTAAGGAGGGCACGTGTGGTGATGAGCACTGGGTGTTATATGCAACTAAAGAATCACTGAATGCTACATCAAAAACTAATGATGATCTAGTTGAACATAATAATAATAATAAAAAAATGTCCCAACGTGGCATGACTGAAGTACAATAAGGAAGACAGCATGAGTCTGAAATGAACTCTGGCCAGCCTGGATATCCATCTGGATGGCATCTGATGGAAACTCATAGACTGAATCTTCTAAGCTTGACCTTGGTTCAACCGTGTATTCTGGGTAGCCAGGTCAGGGCTATATGTCAGCTGCAGACTTGGAGATTAGGAAGGCTGGCTGAGCATATACAAGAGCTGCAATATTACAGCTTTGTGGGAATCAGGAACCCGGTAGCGATACATGAGTTAGGAGGAGAGAGGCCTTCATGTCCTCTGTGCTGAAACTACTTCACATGTCCCATTACCAGCAATCATGGAAATCATGCATTCCTCTGGCCGAACGAGAATTGGCTAAATCTCTCTGCTTCAATAGGAGAGAACTTTTTTTTTCAACTGTAGTTGACTTTTATGCTTTCTGATCGAATCTCATGTAGAGCAGCAGGATGAATGGGTAACAGAAGTTAAAGTGATAGAATAAATGCCCACATATTGATAGAGGCGGTCTGGAGAAATATGCTTGTCCAAAGCCACATTAATGACACTGACACAAAGAAGCATTTATCTTACTTCTGCTGCACTAAATACCACTTTGAGGAATATGAACGAGTCCGCTGGGTTCAGACAAATGTCACTCTTACCTCAGTAAAATGGCACCATTTTTAGCTTTCTCTTCTACTCCACCAGGGGGAATATCAGTGAAATTGGTCAGATCATTTCCACTAGAGTAATAATCACCACTTCCTGTAAATAAAATCAGCAGATTCACCACTCATTCATTCTGTCCATTACTGAGTATCTGCTATGTGCCAGGCTCTCTAGCAAGCACTGGAAATACATCGGTGAACCAGCCATGGCTCTTGCCCTAATTTACAGACAGGTGAGTAAGCTGGACATTGATTTTAAAACATACAAACAAATGTAGGTAATGCAACTCTGATACAAAGGGAAAGTACTCGATGATGATATGAGAGTGTGTAACAGGGGATCTGTTCTAACCTGGAGGTTTAGGGAGGGATGTTTCTAAGGAAGGAACAACTGAACTGAGACATGAAGGACAGGCAAAGTTAGCTAGAAGAAGAAGGGTAGGAAGAATTCATGCAGAGGGAACAGCATGTGCAAAGGTCCTGTGAAGGGGGTAACTCTGGCCACTGTGCCAGAGCAGAAAAAGCCAGAGGGCAAACTGGTGTAGGATGAGGACAGGCAGGATGGACCATGTAGGGCTTTGCTGATCCATTAAGAAGTTTTGACTTTTATTCTAAGAGCCACTGAAAGTGTTTTGTGTTAAAGCATAATTTACATACAAGAACACCAATTTTAAACACTCAGTTCAATGATTTTTGATGATGGCAAATACCTGCGTGATCACCATCTGAAACAAGATATAGGAACGTTCTACCATCCCAGAAAGTTCCCTTAAGCTCCTTTCCAGCCATCCCACCCCACCCTGCCCTGACACAACCACTTTCTGACTTCAATCACCACAGAATGTTTTTGCCTGTTTTAGAAATTTTATAAATGGAATTCTATAGTATGTACTCTTGCGTCTGTATTCTCTTTGCTGAACTGTGTCTTAAAGATTTACCTATATTCTCATATCAGTTCTTCATTCCTTTATATTGCTGAGTAATATTCCATTGTATGACTAGTCAACAATTTGTTTATTCACCTGTTGGTGGACATGAGTTGTTTTTGGCTCCTGTGAATTGGATTACAAATCATTCTGTGGATACATGCTTAATTTATCTGAAGTAATTGCTTAGGAGTGGACTGATATGCCACTGAGCTGGTATGTTTCACTCCATAAAAAGCTGCCAAACAGTTTTCTGAAGCGATCTCATATTAGAAATGTGTAGAGGTTCTAATTGCTCTGCATCATCACCAATATTTTGTATTGTCTGTCTTTTAGATTTTAGTCATTCCAGTGGGTGAAATATCTCATTGTGATTTTAATTTGCATTTCTTTGAAGCCTAATAATTTTGAGCACCTTTTCATGTACTTATTGGCAATCTGTGTTATCTTCTTTTATGAGGTGTCCAAGTCCTTTATCTAGTTTTTAAATCTGGTTGTTGTTGTTATTAGTTTCTAAGGAGTTCTTTATATATTCTGAGTAATAATCCTTAATCAGATTTATGTATAACAAATATTCCTCCTACACCAGCCTGTAATACCTGTATATTCATTTTCTTACTATTGTCTTTGATAAGCAGATATTTTAAATTCTGATGAAGTCCAAGTTGTAAATTGTTTCTTTTATGGTTAATGCTTTTTGTGTCCTGTCCAAGAAATCTCTGCCCACCTCCAGGTCACAAAGATATTGTTTTCTTCTAGAAGCTTTATGTTTCTGAGTTTTATGCTTATATAACTTTCAAATTAATTTTTGTATAGGGTGTAAGATGGGGTTGAATTTCATTTCCCCCATATGAATATTTAGTTGCTCTGGCATCATTTGTCACAAGATTTTTCTTTTTCCACTGAATTGTCTTGGTGCCACTGAAGAAGTTTTAAATGGAGGAGGAATAAGATTTTTATTTGGAAAAAGATTCTATTGGATGTAGTGAGATTGGATAAGGCAAGGGAGAGAGGAGGACAAAAGGGAATCAGAAAGATGAGAAAGGGTTTATTTCATTTCAGACAAGAGTCCATGGCGGCTTGGACGAGTGCAAAGGAGACAGAAAAAATGGCTGACTCCAGAGCTACTGATGAAGTGAAGTGGGACATGGGAGGTGAGAGAGGGACAAGGTCAATCATGAATGTTAGGATTCTGGTCTACATAACAGGGCAGATGTGAAACCACCCGCTGTCATCTGGAACACTGATAAAGCTCCAGAGAGAAAGATGTGGGAGGTGATACCTATGAGGAAGTGCCAGGTGGGCACATGGGTCAGGAGCCCTGGGGAGTGTCCTGACCAAAGATACCAAGGGAGGAAGCACCAGCATATGGACTTTTGTTGGAGAGTGGGCATGGATGTGGGGTCCAGGGAAAGAGAACAGTGCCCAGAACTAAGCCTTCAGGAACCCTCCTTTTGGATGGCCACGCAGAGGATGAATCTACAAAGGAGATCAGAGACAGCAGATCAGAGGGGCAGGCTGGAAGGGAAGGCAGGGAAGGCAGGGAAGACACAGGTTTAAGATGGGGGAAGAGTCAGATGAAGCCTAAGAAATGTCCCTGGATTTAATGATACAAAGGTCAGGGTGGGGATCTAAGCAAAAGGTAGAGACCACACTGGAATGGGCTCAAGGGCAAGTTTTAAAGGAAAAATTCAGAAGACATGTTTGTTTTGTAGTAGGGCTTTAGACAGTTATAGCTAGGGAACGGAGAAACAAAGCGCTATATTTGTTATCGGCAGTATTTTAACATAATAAATTTGTTCTTTAATTTTTTCTTACATTACTATCAGGAGCAAATGGTGTCATAAATAGTATTTTTGATAATTTCATGAGTAATAAAACTTCTTTTCCAAACACACTCTATGCTGGTCCTCAACGTATATATAAAAAGTTAACAGCTGAGCTTTTCTATGGACTCAAAACGGAAGTGATAGATGAGAGAAAAAAAAAGAAAAGTATCTGAGAGCATTCAGGAAAAGAGGTAGAGAGAAAACCACAACCACTAAAGAATGATGTCATTAGAGGCCATAAAAAGGACAGACATTGTTAAAAATGCAACCAGAGGGGCACCTGGGTGGCTCAGTCGTTAGGCGTCTGCCTTCGGCTCAGGTCATGATCCCAGGGTCCTGGGATCGAGCCCCACATCGGGCTCCCTGC